TAGAAGTTGGAAGCTTATTTATTTGTACTGAATGATACGGTGCATTATCCATAATGATTCGTGGTATTCCACAGTTTTCTTAGATTTAAACGCCATGAGTCAGTTCGGAACAAATACCCTTCATGGAACCCGCATGACAAATAATTAAGCGTTCGCCTTTGCCACTAGGTACTTTTGTGGAGGAGTGAGGAGTGTCGTCTGTCCATATCTTGCCAACTGTATGATTAGCGTTTAGCCACGTCTCATCTAGAAACATAACATTATTCCAAACGGCAATGGACTTAGCTGATCTTAGAAAATTAAATCTGGCTAAAGCTATATTTCTACGTTCCATCAAAATCGGCCTTTTATCACATTTTTTATGAGAAAGAAGTTCTACTGCCGTGAAACAGTCCAGTTTCTCGTAAATAATTTTGACAATTTATCGAGAGTCGGCAATTCGTTCCTACTATAGTAGCCATAGATATGGTTTCTAATGGCGTCGTTATCAAAATTGTCGATATGTGTAACTATCGATCTTCTAACTTTTTTCTTAAGTGGCGATTTTAATTTGTTATCGTCCATTAAATCTTTACCATGTTTTTCCTTACTTATTCGGGAAACACTTTTTCGACTAATACCAAGAGCTGCACTTACTAGTTAGTCACTTGTGAAAGTGGCAACAATGGACCACCATTCTGATACTCTCTTTCAGAGTAATCTTGTAGGCGTACTACAAACTCTCGCGCTTGACTGCGAATCACTGTTATTTTAGTGGTCTCAGTTTCGGCCATAGTGTTTATAAATACAAAAAAAAACAAATCAAATAACAGTCAAAACTTAATAACAACGAAAGAATTATCAAACAGTTATAACTACAATAACAAGAACGAAATAAGAACACAACACAAAATCAACTAAACTGAACACGCGTATCGTATACAAGACTTCTGCACTCGTACTGAAGAGTAGGCGTGTGTATCTCTTTACGGAAACGAATCACTGATCCGAATCACTGAAGTGTCACAAAATATTGGTTCAGTAACAACGTTTCAAATGTATCATTTGGATTTGGAACAGTGAAACATTACTTTGTTCTTTGCTCATTTCGCGCGACGCGTCGCTTGCGAGGCGACTGAGCCACGAGTGAGAAAGACAGACTGAGACAATGATTAACTTAACTATTGACTCACGAGTGGCGAGTGAGCGGGCGAAATAATTATAATCCACACAAGTCAGATAGAGATAAGAAATAAGAAGTGTATCACTCAACTCGTACGGATTTTCGCTGACGTTATTCATGCACGTAAAAATTACCACTAAGGCGCTTATGTGTCAAATACTATACGGTCGTTTTTTGTATGTAATGTTTGCATTAACAAGTTGTCATTTTACGTTTATGCGGCACTTCTCAAATTGTTTATATTCATTTACGCCCGTTTACGAAAACATACTGAGTTATGTTTAGGATTTCTTTGCGTAGTGATTATTGTGACTTTACTTTCTTCCTTTTCATCATAAAGTTTAGAGTTATGATACTTTACGAGAAAATTCTGTGTACATAGACATTGCTGTTTTGTGTAAATGGATATTTTTGTAAATAATGAATTGACATAGTGACATTTTTGTTAAAGTACGAAGGAGAATCGATTTTATATACAATCTTATTACGATACACAATAAATAATCTAAGCACTTATATTATTCAGCATTGTTGCCACATAACATTTCACGGATCAGTCAGTAATAAATGCCCGCGACGCAACTTAATGTATTCGGAACATTCTTTCTTTTAAATCTTTTGAGTCGATGATCCAAATGAGTCAAATGAAACATATCGGTGTTACGGAACATTTCAGTGATCAAGATGCAAATGTTCCAATCCCAAAAATGATACACGTTGCCCACCTCCACTGAAGAGACAAACAAAATGGCGGTCGTGATCACGAGGTGGACGCAGTGTTGACAGATTTTCACTCGCGAAAAGAATCCGTCTATAATCGATTTTATACGATTATTTTAGTCACGTCACTATGTAAAAAAGTAAAAATAAAACTACGTTCTAAGAAGTGTCAAAAGGGACTTTGTAATTGGAATAGAGCATGGAAATACATGTACTTTCTATACTTCCGTGGAATAGAGTATAGTCACATATAGATGCACTTCCAAACAGTTATAACTTTACTATTATGTAGTAATTCTAGTATCTAATCATAGTTCATAATCTCACTGTTAATACTCATAATCACATATTTGTTTCATTTATTGTGTTGCGTACTCAGTAGTTACGTAGTAGACCAAGTAATTTTTCATTAAACTAACACATGGCGCTACGCTCCTTCAATTATTTGCAAATAAAAATGATTACATAACAATTTCGACAACCTTGTCTCGTCTCGAGTCTCGACCCGAAAGTCCCGGGACTCGAGACAACTAAAATTACGAAAAGTCCCGGGACTTCAAGACACGAGACGTCCCGGGACCCAAACCCTAACCCGTGGTCACGGGGGGGACTGAAGTGTTTGCCGTCCCGATGTCATAGTTAGCCCGACTACCTTCAGTTTTTGAATATTAGTATTTGGTCCGATCTACGCAGAATGAGCTTATAGTATCTTGAAGTCTTGCAGTGGTATGCTTGGGTTTGAATTTAATTTTATTAATTATAGGATCCCAAGCAGATGGCAGCACCCATCCATCTTCTCTACTGATATTAGGATGTGTTTCAATTTCAATAGCCTCGCGAATCATCCTTGGTAGGAATCGGTGTTCTTTTGCAAGGATATGTGGTCTATCAAATTTAATGTAATGGTTGGGATGGTCTTGAACATGTTCACACACTGCAGACTTCCCGGAATGTCGGTGCTTCAAGTCAGCTATATGTTCTTTCACGCGGGTTTTTATAGATCTTTTTGTTTGTCCTATGTAAGAGAGGCCACTTTCACAATCCAGCTTGTACACTCCTGCATCTTGTAGAGGGATATGACGCTTGACAGATGGTAAAAATTGACTAATCTTCTTCGGCGGCTTGAAGTATGTTTTAATGGAAGCTCGCTTCAAGATGTAGCCAACCTTGTCTGCGACTCTTCTGACATAGGGTAGTACAGAAGGCACACGCTCGACTGTGGCCGGCTTCACTCGGTCACTATGACGTAGGCGCGGGACCCGAAGCTTGTTGTCTTGCAATACTTGCTCGACGTGCTGAAGCTCGGCGGCCAGATGTTTCTGTCACAGATCCCTCGTGCTCTCTGAAACAAAGATTTTCCCACGGTAGCTAACTGTGATGGATGGTGGTGGGAATCACCATTTCAATATCGGTTGGTATGCATCTTTTTCCTATCACAGTGTGACTAATAGTGTTATCAGGATTTCGGATGACTAAAACATCTAGGAAAGCTAAAGAATTGTTTACCTCTAACTCCATTGTGAATTATATTTTAGAGTTTATGGAATTAAGGTCTGGTCTAAAATACCGACATATCTTTTCGTTAGACATACCTCAGAACCTCAAAACTAGATTGTTCAACCAGTGCGTGTTGCCAGTGATGACCTACGGATCTGAGACGTGGTCTTTCACTGCTGTCCGTATGAGGAAGCTCAAATTCGCTCAGCGAGCTATGGAAAGGGCTATGCTCGGCGTTTCTCTGCGTGATAGAATTGAAAACGAGGTTATCTGCAGTAGAACCAGAGTAACCGACATAGCCCAAAGAATTGGTATGCTGAAGTGGCAATGGGCCAGCCATATAGTTCGAAAAACCGACAACCGATGGGGAAGAAAGGTTCTCGAATGGCAGCCTCGTACCGGCAGGCGAAGTGTAGGGCATCCCCCCAATAGATGGAGTGACGACCTGGTAAGACATGCAGGAAGTCGATGGATGCAAGTGGCTCGAGACCGTCCTTTTGGCATTCCGTGAGGGAGGCCTATTTCCAGCAGTGGATTTGTGATGGGGTGTAATGATGATGATGAAGATGAACCTTACTCAAATTACAGTTAAATCAACATAAGAGCAAGTTCATAGGTAATGTTCTAATCTTTGTTAACCGTCATTACAGCCCTTTACAAGTCCACCGCTGAATATTTGCCTCCATCAGGAAATCCTGCAAAGGACGATTCTATAAGACACTTGATCCATTGACTCCCGGCGTGTCATCACTACCTTGAATAGGGAGAAGCAGAATCAGAATAGTCTTGCGAGAGTTACAATTATTAGTGCGCTATGTTTTGTCTTAAAGACACACAAATATAATTGTGTGTTCTTTTGAAAATCATACCTTAAAATAAAATAAAATAAAAATCAATGAAATGGGAATACTAATTAAAATTAAAATGCTACATTTATAAAATTAAATTGATGACAATAAGAAAAATTGTATTATACGTGGTAGAGCCATGCTGCAGCCACTAGGATAGTACTAGGATAGTTGTAGCACGAATGGAAGGAGCACGCTCTCACAGAATACCAAGATAAAATAGCAGCTTAATGCTGCTGTGTTTCGTATGGTGATGGCCATATTATAACTCGATGAAGTGACAACCGAAGGAGAAGAAAGCTATTAGAGTGGATGCCTCATAGCCATCAAGCCGTCTGTAGGTCAGCTCCACTAATGCAAAAAAAGCTTATTTGGTATTGCGGCACGAATTTACAATAATTTTTAACAAATGTTATTGAAAAATTGATGAGTTCTTGAATGAAAATTTTTACTAATTACTTTTATTGACTATTATTATTGACTTTTCTTTATAGTATAAGGGTGACAAACGAGCGTTTACGACCCCTAGACCAACGTGGCAGCCAAGTGTTGCTTAAATCATTTCATAAATTGACTGTCATTGATTGTCCATAGACATCTACATTTATCCTCGAATAAGAATCAAAATTTGCGTTATCACCATGTGCTAAGGACTAAGATGGAATGCCTCGTTTCTAGTAAAAAAGGGTCTATAGTTCTCTGCACTCACCACACGAAACACCCTTATTCTAGAAAAAAAAAAATACAAATATATAATGCTAGTTTATTTTCAGCTCCGTTCATCAAGCCTTGCAAGGATGGAGACAACGCATGTATCCAAGCGTCCAGCCAAGCAGCCATCCCATTCTTTGCACCGGGTTTGCCGGACCTCGGTGTCAAGCCTCTGGACCCGTTGAAAATACCCCTAATTAAAAGCGAGCAAGGCGGTTTGGAGCTGACGTTGAGAGATACAACGTTAAATGGTCTCAAAGGATGTAAGATAGAAAGCATCAAGTAAGGAAAAAACTTTATTTCGCCATTATCGTCACCATATTTTTACGCAGTAGAGCCACGTGGCAGCTATATCATGGTTGCAGTTGGAATGAGTCAGCTCATCTTGGGTTCTTACCCTGCTTAAAAAGGTCTCGGTTCTCTACACTCATCATACGAAAAACAGCAGGATTGAGCTGCTATTTTACGCTGATATTCCGTGAGTATTCACAGTGGAGCTTCGTATAATGAATGTAGAGAACTGGAGACCATTTTTACTGGAAACGAGGCATTCCATCTCAGTTTTCAACCGAAGCAAGACTACGCTCTTCTATCTTAGTGCTTAACCGGAGCAAGACCACACTCTCACAGAATACCAGCGTGAAATAGCAGCATAATACTGCTGTTTCGTATGGTGAGTGTTGTTAATGAAGAAACCACATTTGTAATTAAAAAAGTTTTAGTTCTACTTCGATAGATGGCGTTGACATAGAAATAGATTGCACTATGGTTGCGTTACTCAGTGTGTAATAAGGCCATTTAAATTATTGTATATAAAAATAAACCAGCTCAGATCATACATTGTTGTAGTTTGATTTATATATTATCAGCTCTTCAAGTGTATCAATAGGACAAACAGTACAACTAGCTTGCTAGTAAACATTGGTCCTTCGAGCCGGATATCAGACCCGGAATAGTCTGAATTTTTTGTTAGTTTGCGGTGCCAGCTTTGGGCCGCACCCCGTAGTACTCGCAGTGGATCGCTGCGGCAAGAGTACCGGGCACCTCACAGAGGCAGCAACAGCTTGGCCCAGCAAGAGGGCCATACTCAGCTGCATTGGGAGTGTTAGTTCAACGTGACGCCACAGAGGGCGCCATCAGCAGTGCATCGCCAATTCAATCTTCGAGTTCGTCGATAGCAGCCGGGAGTTGAAGTTCAAAGTGACGCCGAAGGAGGGCGCCACGAGTACACTACTAGTTCAACCTGGGTTTGTGTGAGTGAAGTGCAAACGTGAGTACAATTTAATTAAATACCATAGTAGCAGAGACATTTAATATAACTTGATTGGTGACAAGTACTGTAGACATTATTTGCCAAGCAATTTTAAACTTTATTTCTAAGAAGATTTTAACTTTAAAATTGTGCATGTTAGATTAAGGACTTAGAATAAGTTTTATAAAAACGGAGGAACGGGGAGAATAAGTTTTATAAAAACGGAGGAACGGGGAACCTATGTCCGATTTCTACCAGAGTGTATTTATTTATAAACACTTGTAAAATTTTTCGTTGTTTTTGAGACTTAGAAAAAATCGCAAACTTTTGTCTAGTAAAGAAACTTGTAAAGTTATACATTTCAATTGAGGTTGTTCTGTTACCAAGTTAATATTGTGTTAACATTTAGATTGATAAATTTATCTTCACATAAATAATTAAATTATACTTTTTTTTGATATTAATTAATCAATTCTATAACTATCTTTTACCATCATTTTGTTTGTTGTTTACGATGGAAGGACAAATTAATATATTAAAAGACCTTCAACAAGTAATTCAAAAAGCCTTTACTAATTTTAAAAAGTGTCCAAAGGATAGACTTACAGTAGAATATATACAAACAAGGCTTGAATTATTAGAAAATGATTGGTCTTCGTTTAAAAATACTAAATCTCAACTTTATGGTCGGTTTAAGTTAGAAGACATAGGTCAAAAGGTTGTCGATATATATGACACAACCGAAGATACTTACATATCATGTAAATGTTTAATGAAATCAACGTTAAATAGTGTAAGAGAACCGCTACCACAAGACAGTGGATGTAGTAATAATTCTTCTAAGCAATCTAATTCATTTGTAAAGTTGCCCAAGATAACAATTCCTACCTTTTCTGGCAAGTACAGTGAATGGACATCTTTTCACGATCTTTTTATTTCACTTGTACACAATAATGCATCTTTAGATAATGTGCAAAAACTGCACTATCTTAAAAGCCACCTCACTGGTGAAGCCGAACAGTTGATTAGGCACACACCAATCACAGATGCCAATTACCGCGAATGTTGGTCTCAGCTAGAAAAGCGTTATGCAAATAAAAAGTATTTAACCAGTTGTATTTTAAAAAGATTGTTCGGCCAGAAACGCTTACATGTGGAATCGGCTAACTCATTAAAGGAGCTGCTAGATACCACGAGCGACTGTTTAAATGCATTGAAAAATTTGAAAATCGATGTAAGTACATGGGACGTTATTGTTATCCATATAGTGACGTTCAAATTGGATAATGAAACACGAAAGCAGTGGGAGTTAAGTGTTTCTAATGACTCCAGCAACGAGTTGCCCACCTTTGAGTAGTTTCGGATATTTATTGAAAGTCGTTTTCGCGCTTTAGAATGTATAGAGCCGAGGAAGGCTGTGGCTCACCAGATCAATAATAGTTCTCACGTTCTTAGTTCGAAAGCAATGCTGGCCACAAAGTCGTCGAATATTCGTTGCGAATTTTGCTCAGAACTTCACAAGCTCTGTTTTTGTAAGCAATTTGCAAAACAGTCCATAGAAAACAGACGAGAGTTCGTAGCAAAAAATAAAATATGTTTTAATTGTTTAGGCGGAAATCATACAGTTTATGACTGTAAAAAGCAGAATGTCTGTAGAGTTTGCAAAAAGCGCCACCATTCCTTGCTGCACCCTAATAGAGAACCTAACGCTGAGAATAAAGGCCAAGATTCTACAGTAAAGTCCACTATTGACAACGCCAGTTCTTCAAATAGTGACAATCAGATAGTTACATGCTTATCTACGGGCAAAGTCTTAAAACCCAGACAGGTTTTATTAGCCACTGCATTAATAAAGGCAGAGTTCAAGATAGGTGAATTTCAAACAATTCGAGCCCTACTTGATCAAGGATCACAAGCATGTTTTATAACAGAGGCCACTGTCCAATTTCTTAGGCTTAAGAAAATTCCAGTCCGAGGACACGTTTCAGGTTTAGGAGATAATAAGTCAACCATTGCTAATTATATGGTAAATTTAATTATTAAATCCACTGTTGATCTTGATTTTCAACTTCAAATAAATGCTTACGTCTTGAGTAAGATTACATCATACTTACCTGAGAGAAGTGTGAATACCAGTTCATTGGATTGGATTGATATCAACGGTCTTTGTTTGGCAGATCCTTATTTCAAAACACCTAATAAAATAGACATTCTTTTGGGTGCAGATGCTTACTGTTGCATTATGAAGGAAGGTGTAGTAAAGAGTCCGTCTGGTACTCTAATAGCGCAGAACACCACCTTAGGGTGGATCCTTTCCGGTGTAGTCAGTTCAAGCAATGAGAGTTCAAAACACCACACAAGAAATTTAAGTGTGCACTGTACACAGTTCAATGAAGACAATATTCTAAAGAAATTCTGGGAGATAGAAGAACAAGTTAGTACAAGGAAATTACTTAACCCAGAAGAGCAAAAATGTGAAGAATTTTATATGAAAACTACTAAGAGGGATGATACAGGCAGATACATTGTACGTTTACCATTTCGAGACGAAGATCCTGCATGCAAGGCCGGAAGTTCCCGTGACATAGCTGAAACAAGATTCAAATCGTTAGAAAAAAGATTAAATAAGGACACATATTTAAAGGAAAAATATACAGAGGTAATTAATGAATACTTACAATTAGGACACATGAGACCTGTAAAGGAAGAGGATAATAAGAAAGATGAAGCAGTTTACTTACCACACCACGCGGTGATTAGAAACGATATACGTGTAGTTTTCAACGCCTCTGAGAAAAATAAAAAAGGAGTTTCACTCAATGACACTTTAATGGTTGGACCAACGCTGCAAGCAGACTTAAGACACACCATTTTTAGATGGAGAGTACACGCTATTGGTATTGTGGCGGATATAATCAAAATGTACCGCCAAGTCAGAATAGCGGATGAAGATGCTGTCTTCCAGAGGATACTTTGGCGAGAAAGCCCTGAAAAGCCACTTAGGGATTATGAGTTGGTAACGGTGACCTTTGGAACAGCTTCTGCACCATATCAGGCAGTTAGGTCACTCCATCAGGTTGCGTACGACGAAGGAGATAAGTACCCGCTTGCAGCAGATAGAGTTTTAAACTCTTTTTATATGGACGATTTAATGATGGGAAGTAATAGCGTCGAAGAGGGCGTTGAAATCTGTAAACAGATGGTAGCATTATTAGGAAAGGGAGGATTCGCATTGCAGAAGTGGAACAGTAACAATCGGCAACTATTAGATAGAATAAGTTCAATATATACAAATGAAGTAGTACAGCAAACAGGTCAAATAAAAATTAAAAATGAGAACACTGAAAATAAGGACAAAGAGGACATAGGAGTTAAGGAAAAGGAAATAGATAATAAGGAAATAGAAATTAAGCTAGATAGTACAATAAAAATTTTGGGACTTACCTGGAACCGCCACGAAGATTGCTTTCAGTACTCGGTAAATCTTCCACCGCTGACGACAGCACCTGTAACAAAAAGACTAATAATATCAGATATAGCTCGTTTGTTCGACCCATTGGGATTGTTAGCTCCTAGTGTCGTATTAGCAAAGATGTTCATACAAAAATTATGGCTCTTAGGTGTATGTTGGGATGAGGAATTAACTACCGAAGTAATAACAGAGTGGAGTACTTACCGCGAAGAGTTGTCATTACTAACCAAAGTTCAGGTACCTCGTTGGCTTGGTACTAGTTCATCTGATGACCTTGAATTGCACGGTTTTAGTGACGCCTCTAAAGCAGCGTACTCAGCCGTCGTTTACTTAAGAACAATTGATGTCTCAGGCAAAATTCATCTGTCGTTGTTAGTGGCTAAAACGAGAATAGCTCCCATCAAACAAATTAGTATTCCTCGATTGGAGCTATGTGGTGCTGTACTTTTATCAAAGTTATTGATAGAGACAGCAGAGATTTTAAATATTTCAAAGGAAAAGATCTTTGCATGGACTGATTCTACAGTAGTGCTATCGTGGCTTAATAGTCACCCTAGCAGGTGGAAAACGTTTGTTGCCAACAGGACTTCAGAAATTTTGGGCGCTTTGAATTCATCTCAATGGTTTCATGTGCCGACCAAAGAGAACCCAGCTGACTGCGCATCAAGAGGAATACTACCCAGTTCATTAGTCGGTAATGAGTTATGGTTTTCAGGACCATCATTTCTGAAAAATAAATTAATTGAGTACAAGAGGCCAAAGAATCTAAAGACAGATTTAGAACAAACTATAAAGGCGCACACAGCTGTAGTTCCAGAGCACGTAGTTTTCGAAAATTATTCCAGTCTAAGAAAATTAGTTAAAGTTATTGCGTATTGTCGAAGAGTTTTAAAAAAGGAAAAACACGATAGTAAATATTTGAAAAATCACGAAATAGAAGCAGCATTACAAACTTGTATAAGGAAATCACAAATAGATTCATTCACAACAGAATATGAACAATTAAAGGAAAAAGGGTATTTGAATATAAAATCAAGTAAATTGAAATCACTTTGTCCTTTTCTCGACAAGAATGGTATCATGCGAATTCGTGGACGACTTGAAAAGTCTGAACTAGATGAGCAAGTAAAACATCCGATAGTTCTACCACATTCATGCCATTTGACTCTTCTTATAGTTGCAGACGCGCATGAGAAGACATTGCATGGTGGTCCTCAGTTAATGGCAAACTATTTAAGGTCAGCCTATTGGGTAATAGGTGCTAGATCTCTAGTTCAACAATATGTTCGCAAGTGTGTAACTTGTGCGAAACAGAGAGCTAGTGTTAGAAACCAACTGATGGGTGCGCTCCCATCGGTTCGATGTACACCAGCAAGACCATTTTTATATAGCGGAGTGGATTATGCTGGACCCATAAGTATTAGAACCACTAAAGGACGTGGGCATCGTTCTTATAAGGGCTACATATGCCTTTTCGTTTGCATGTCCACTCGTGCTATTCACCTAGAGGTCGTCAGTGACATGAGCACACAGGCATTTTTAGCCGCTTTTCGACGTTTTGTGTCGCGACGAGGTCACTGTGCTAAATTGTGGAGCGACAACGGCTCCAACTTTGTAGGCGCCTCCAGAGAACTGCAACAGTTGGCATCTATTCAGCCAGCCATAGCAGAATATCTGGAAGCAAACAACACCGAGTGGCATTTTATTCCGCCTCATGCTCCCAATTTCGGTGGTCTTTGGGAAGCGGGTGTAAAATCCACCAAATTTCACCTTAAAAGGGTTATTGGCGACTCTACCCTAACGTACGAGGAAATGACTACATTCCTCAATCAAGTGGAAGCCTGTCTGAATTCGCGGCCGATAAGCGTTATTAACTTTACTGATCCTGGTGAGCCCCTCCCTTTAACTCCTGGACATTTTTTAATAGGAGAACCGATAATTAATGTACCAGATAAAAATTACAAAAGTTCAAACGTAAGCTATTTAACTAGGTGGCAATTTGTGCAAAGGATGCTGCAGTCTTTTTGGAAACGATGGTCACAGGAATATCTGTCAAAGCTCATGAATAGGTACAAATGGGCGTCACAAGTTCCGGAACCTAATGTTGGTGACGTTGTTTTAATTAAAGAAGATGATTTGCCTCCAAGTCGTTGGTTATTGGGTAGAGTTATAGAGAATCACCCCGGTGATGATAACGTTACCCGTGTAGTCACATTGCGTACGAAAACATCCGTAATTAAGAGGCCAACATCAAAATTATGTATTCTGCCTATCTCGGATCCATGAATTGTTCAATTTTTATGTCAAATTTATGTAAAAATATTATTGTATCAAATGTTCTTTTACTTTTACGATCAAATGTAGCTATATGTACAACATTAATTACATTTATAGGTTTAATTTTACAATGTTACTTTTCAAAATTTTATTTTAGGTTATTTTAAGCTGTTGAAGTCTTTATTTTTATTTGTAAGTTTTTAGGTCATACTTTATGAGATTAAATTATAGAAGTGTGTTATAAAGTATTAAGTGCAAATTTTAGATTTAAGTTCAAATTTTAAATTTAAGTGCAAATTTTAGATTTAAGTGCAAATTTTAGACTTAAGTACAATTTAAAAGGCCATTCCGTCACTAAATGTCCTTGGTGGGCGGTATGTTAATGAAGAAACCACATTTGTAATTAAAAAAGTTTTAGTTCTACTTCGATAGATGGCGTTGACATAGAAATAGATTGCACTATGGTTGCGTTACTCAGTGTGTAATAAGGCCATTTAAATTATTGTATATAATAATAAACCAGCTCAGATCATACATTGTTGTAGTTTGATTTATATATTATCAACTCTTCAAGTGTATCAATAGGACAAACAGTACAACTAGCTTGCTAGTAAACAAGTGTAGAGAACCGGAGACCCTTTTTACTGGTAATGAGGCATTCCAGGATGGTAAGTGGTTACCATGTGGTAGACTGTAAATTCATTTGTAATAGTTTTATTTGGATATAAGTATCCTATGTCACACTCGGGTCGAGCTCTATTCGTGTGCAGTTTCTATCAAATCCATCCAGCAGTTCTTGTAAAAACGTAACAAACTAACAAACTTACACATTTATAATAATATTAGCAAAGATTTTATAAAGATTAAATATTATCTGATGCGTTACACACAATACTTAGAAGTAAGTAACTTTGCTTTATTATGCCCTGGTAGTGGACGATAAGGAGCTGATGATGAAGTAGATTTGCACACTTAAAGTATTTAGTTTAAATAAGGTCCAAATTTCATTTTTGCCTCGGGCCCTTGGTTACATACCCACGCCACTGACAGCAGCGCAGGCACAAAAAAATAAGAGTGTATCTACCCAGATGAACCCCTCAGCAGAAACGTTTCCATCATGTTGAAAACAAAAAAAATATTATAACTTTTCAAAAAGTAAAAACCGACTTTAAATTGTTATAAAATAATTTATTTATTTACTAACCTTAGAGGTGGAATTTATCCTCCAATATATGGGACCACCCTTGAAGTACTCTGTTTTCCCTCACTCTCATAGTCGATAAGACACAAATTCGACACTTCCGGGTGGAAATCAGGCGCAGAATCTACGGCTTTACGTGTTTTCTGAGGCGCGGCCTGATTCCGGACGACTACCGAGTTACTTGACAGATTAATAAAATAGACCTGTTAATCGTTTTTTGACCCGATCTGGGATTCGAACTCGACACTCAGCAGTCACGCTTCCGGCTTATAGAACAACGAGGCATTTGTACCAGGTTATCTACACTCAGCATACGAAATACAGCGGCATTGAACCACAATTTTACGCTGGTATCCTTGATTACGGACGTGACTACGATGACTTAATGACGGAGATTAGCAGTTTTGAACCAATATTAGAAAAAAAAAATATTGAATAGTACAGTGAACGCGGCGTAATTTATAAAAAAGAAATTTAACAGACTCCAAACATGAGGAGGTGCTCAATTCAAATGTATTTTTTATGTGTGTGACCTCATAACTTTTTTCTAGGTGAAGTGATTTTGGTGATTTTTTTTTATTTGAAAGCTGTTGCTTTTCATGTAGTCCAAAATTTGATCAAGGTCTGACCAAGTAGTTTTTGATGTATCCTTAACAATTTATATAGAAGTCGGTTGTACAACATTCTTGATTTTACCACTTATTTGGTCTAAGATGGATAAATAAACAATGGAATTCCACCACGAGTTACTTTCGGTCTTTTCGGTTTTACTTGGTTGTAATATTAAACATAATATATTCTAACGGGTCCAAATTTAGAAATTTAAAATTTTGGAAGTCTTAGAATACGCTAGGACCGAAGTGTTTTATTTTATAATATATACCTAGGTACTGAATTCATTTCAACTTCTAGGTTATCGGACCAATTAATCTTTCTTGATCAAGAAACAACCTTTTCCTAAAATTTTCAAGGGTTTATGGTTTAATATTAAAATTACCCAATAACATTTTTACAAAGTCTAAACTTTTTGAATAAATATACATTTTAATCAAGGAGCAAACGCTTAGTAAACTTTTTTTAAATTTGCAGGCACGAACGTATCAAAGGCAAACAAACGTTAGTCCTCCGATGCAGCATGAATTTGAAAGGCAACTATAATCTAGATGGACGGCTGATACTCCTACCTGTGCAAGGTCAAGGCAAATACAGTTTTAAAATACGTGAGTATCTTGATTTTTAACGCTAAGTGGAGGGACTTACTGTCTTCGTAAGTGTCCATCCTTCTTATTTCAACCTCACAGCATTAGTGTTGTGTTACTGTTAAAACGATAAAGTAGCAGTAATATGTGGTAGAGCTATACTGCAGCTTAATAGTAATACGCTAATTTAATAATAGCTATATTAATAGTAATAAATAATAGTGTATACGCTTTTACAACAAAATCCCAGAACATATTCAAAGTTTGTCAATAAACAAGTTTAAACGTTTTATTAAAGAAAAACTGTACAATAAGGGTTATTATAATATCAAGGAATACATGAATCAAAATAACCCCTGGGAATAGGGTGATCGCCACCATGCTGGTTCTATGAAAAATCATTTAAAAATTGTATAAACAAAATTATTGTTAAGTGAAATTATGTTTAAAAAAAAGTCCCGCTGGGTTTCTTGCTGGTTCTTCCCAGGACTGAGGTATTTTCCGAACCAGTGGTAAATAAAAAATGACCTTCAATAAGTATTATGTAATAATCAATACTGAATAAAAAATTATTCTATTCTATTCTATTCTATAGTTGTAGCACGAATGTGTCAGCTCGACTGCGGAAGGAACACGCTCGTTTTTCGTCGCTGTATTTCGTATGGCGAGTGTAGAGAACCGGAGATCCTTTTTACTGGAAAAGATGCATTCTATCTTAGTCCTCACTTGAGTACCTCCTTCTTTTTGAACTCGGTAGAAAATGAGAAGATCATCAATGTAGTCGTAGTCAATTAAATAAGCATTATTATAACACTCTGACTGAGCCGGCGTAAACCGGTTTGTACCCCGACGGAGCGTCGGTGAACCTGTCGGTGAGAGCTCACGCACACATCTCTGCGCTATGTATGGGTGTGTTCATAGCGAGCCGTTTGTATGTAGCTTCCCCTCTAGTCGGTTTCTTTCATGAAGCTAATACAAAGGGGAGACGGCATAAGCAACTGTGCACTGTGATTCTAAGTAGGTCCTGAAGTCATCATAGTGGGCGTGGCTTTAGTTAGTATACTGTCAGCATTCGTCCTGTGCGCTTATGTGTTGAAAAAATCGCAAATCGGTGTATTTTCGTAGTATTAAGAAGAAAAGGACGAAGTGTTGTGTTTTATTGTGTAAAAACTACTCAGATAGACGCTCTGATGTTATGGATGGCATCACATTTCATTTGTAAATAATTTTACACCTAATTTATTAAAATAGTTCTAGAAAAATCTCTTTGCGTCGGCTTTCAAATATAATTAAATATAAAAGCTTTTACAAAAATTTACTTCGCAAATATCCGCGTTATAAAATAAAATGATGTGTCTTACCTAGTATGAAGAAGCACCTCCCGCCCTCCCTCAATTGCGTGCACTATCCCCGTCACCACTAATCCCAGCACCGCTACTTCCAACACCACTACACTAGGCAAGACACACCACTGACGATAATACGACACGTGTTTCGCCTCTACACGAGGCATCCTCAGGTGATATAGACTCTACGGTGGCTAACCGCTAATATTTAAGAGAGGTTACCTCTCTTAAATATCTTTAAATATGCTTCATGAGATAGACGCTCCGATGCTATGGATGGCATCACATTTCATTTGTAAGTAATTTTACACCTAATTTATTAAAATAGTTCTGGAATAATCTCTTTGCGTCGGCTTTCAAATATAATTAAATATATTCCACACTAGATGGCGACACTTTGTGTCCTGTGAACTAAAAATATAAAGGTACGTAGAGCTCAGTAATGATAAAATAATCATACGAAGATGCGGAAATTTGTTTTGCATTCACACATAAAGAAATTTTAATCGCCAATATATTATTTTTATAGTTTATAACATTTTGTGGACATGCCGCCATCTACCGTCAAGGTAGCTAAGCTACATTGTAACATAGATATGGAAAGATTCGAGTAGTTTTACTATTTATCGGTAGATGTAGATGTAGAGTAAAGTGGGCGGGGCTTTGCATCCCCTCACCCCGCAAATTGTCACGCGTTGTTACATAGTGAAATTTAATTAAAACGTCTCCTCTTTATATTTGCTTCATGGTTTCTTTACTCATGTGCCCACACTACGTCTTAGCATCGACTTAAAAAGGTATTATGTGTAAATTATTTTATTTATTTAAGGTCTTTGCAGACGGCTTTTACTTTTTTATTAAAAGTAAAATTTTCTGATTTATATCAAACTAGCTTTCCGCCCCGCGGTTTCACCCGCGAAATAATAATAAAGTTTTCGTGTTTTTCCGTGGGAATAATTTATTTTCCTTAATAATCTTTGTTGAGCTGTAAGTGTATTTATGCAGCCTAATTATTTTAAAAGCGGCCTCACAGAAAGTGGATCTGGTCAAGCCCCGACGGTTCGACAAAATATGAAATTGACTTCATTATGACGACCAGACGACAACTGTTCAGTGATGTCTCAGTGATCGCGGGGGTGAAAACTGGCAGCAATCACCGAATGGTGAGAGGCACACTGAACCTAAACGTTAAGTTGGAGAGGTCACGTCTAATGAAGTCAACGCTCTGTCTCCCTCGTGCTCTAATCCAGAGCCCCGAAAACTTTCAGCTCGAGTTACAAAATCGTTTTCAGTACCTAGAAGCTTGCAATGAAGTGGACGATATGAATGGCAAGCTCGTGGAAACTGTCCATGCGGTCGGAGCTAATTCCTGTAAGACCCGTCGCAGAAGAACACAAAATCTCTCCAATCACACATTGAATCTTATGGCTGTTAGACGGGAGATAGAGCTGCAGTTTTCAGCAGATTTGACAGCATACAGGCAACTGAACAGACAGGTCTCCAAATGCATGCGGTGAGACTTACGCAATTTAAATACATCTCGTATTGAAGAAGCGATTGAGCGGAACCAAGGCTCCAAAGTCTTTGCCAGAGATCTGTCTGCCAGAAAGAGCCACCTGTCAAAGCTGAAGACAGAATGTGGCAGCATCGTTTCCGGGACACCTGAGATTTTGAGTGAGATTGAGAGGTTCTATGGGCAGCTGTACACGTCATCGTTGGAGCCACACGCAAGTGTGAGTAACGACCCAAGAGCAAGTCTTATCCGACACTACGCCGATGATATCCCTGACGTCAGTCTGTGCGAGATTAGAATGGCTCTCCAGCACCATAAAAACGGCAAGTCCCCGAGTGAGGATGGAATTACAGCGGAACTTCTGAAGCGGAACGGGTGGAAAACCGATACTTAACGTCCTTCAGAAGCTCATTATCCATCCATCCTCCATGGTAGCACAAGTCCAGAGGCGTAGTGCAGAAGTACGGTGGTCTTGCCCTTTAAGAAAGGCGACAACGCTCTCTTGAAGAACTACAGACCGATTTCCCTTCTGAGCCGTATCTACGTGCTGTTTTCGAGAGTCATTATGAATCGTCTCGCACGCAGACTCGACGACTTCCAGCATCCCGAACAAGCTAGTTTCCGAAAAGGCTTCAGCACCATAGACCACATACATACCCATCGGCAAACAGTACAGAAGACCGAAGAGTACAATCTGCCACTTTATCTTCCGTATGTGGACTATGAGAAAGCCTTTGATTCCCTCTAAACTTGGGCGGTGCTATAATCCCTCAGTCCGCGGTGCCAAGTGTACTGTCGGTATATCGAAGTTCTGAAGTCTTTGCACAGTAGGGCTACGATGGCTATCCGAATACAGAACAAGAGTACGAACCCTATCCAACTGCAGAGAGGTGTAAGACAGGGTAACGTAATATCCCCGAAAGTCTTCACCGCAGCATTGGAAGACCTTTTCAAGCTACTGGACTGGAAAGGATACGGTATTAACATCAACGGCAAGTACATCACTCACCTTCGATTTGCCGACGATATAGTCCTTATGGTAGAATCGCTGGAGTACCTGAGCACTATTTTTGAAGTGAAAACTCCTTTAGCGGCGTTGTGCACTTTTTTTGTAATGGGTAAAAAATGTTAAACACGCGTCAGATCACGTGTCCTGATCGAAAATTCGTAAGACGGACGGAGAGTAGACAGCCGGCGCGACGTAGTAGTATTATTCAGATTAGGTTAGGTTTAATTAATTCTCATTTATTAATTAATATAATTTTATTATTAAGATTAGGTTTCGATTAGTCTACTGTACTGCTTGACGAAATTATTAATATAGATACATTTGTACTTTCACATTATAGATGTAATATTTGTAATATGTTTATACTTTATAGCATTAACCTATATTTTCATAACATCACAATAAGCACACGTGCGGTGTAGGTTTACCAAACAAATAATTTCGAATGAAAATAAATGAAATAAGATAATAATAAATAATCTCCGCCATTACAAAATATCAAAAATGCACAAAGTTAATATTCAAGTTTTCACTTCTGCCAGCACTCCCGGAGTGCAACCCGTGGTTTTTTTTATAGGATAGGGTGATAAACGAGCACACTGTCCACCTGATGGTAAGTGGTTGCTGTGACCCATAGACATCTACATTTATCCTCAATAACGAATCAAAATGCAGATGAGTCGTCACCCGTGAGGACTAAGATGGAATGCCTCTTTTCCAGTAAAATGGGTCTCCGGTTCTCTACACTCACCATACGAAACACAGCAGCATTAAGCTGCTATTTTACGCTGGTATTCAATTGACATTATGCTCAATGACCTCAATAGTGCCTCCCAACGGATAGATCTTAACATGATCATGAACAAAACAAAAGTTATGTGTAACGTTCATGTCACACATATGCCGGTAGTTGTTGGGAGCACTAAGCTCGAAGTTGTTGACAAATATGTTTACCTAGGACAAATAGTCCGACTAAATAAGTCCTACTTCGACCGAGAGGTCAATCGACGGATTCAACTCTGCTGGGCAGCGTTCGGGAGATTACGACACATCTTCTCGTCAGACACCTCAAAACCTCAAAACTAGATCGTACAACCAGTGATGACATATGGATCTGAGACGTGGTCTTTTACTACTGGCCATATGAGGAAAC